TTACTGAAGGATATCTGATGGGACCTACAACATCTTGTCTTGTAAATCCCATGACAGATGGGCTAAATGTTGGGCATGATACAAACATACAAATGAACTAAACTAATCAATCAATCAAACAAACACACCAACAAACAAATGTGGTTTTGGAATGCAAATGCGAGTAACCATACTCAATATGCAAATTGCAGGCATGATCGTGTGTGTGTGTGTGTGTGTGTGTGTGTGTCTGGGTTATGTCAGCAACTGCAGTGCCCACAACCATAAGCCTCACATTGAAAGTGTGAGCCGCCTGTTTGCTATCCCATAATTCCCTGGAGGGACAAGGCAGAAAGCTTGCTCACATTACACCAGTAAGACAGTTTCTGATGGCCGTACCACCACCGTGACCAGATCGAGTTTGACATATGCTGTAGTGAGGTCTGACAGGCAGGCAAACACAGGCACATCAGGGGAGACCTGGCTGTGAAACAAAGTATCGTCAGGGGAAATCCATCTTTACCCATGACACACTTAGGTGACACTCGCTGAATAAAATGCTTTTTGGTTTTATAATTCTACCAGTGAGTGAAGGTTCATCATTCCATGCGATTCTTTTAATTGGTGGTACCAACGGTCGTCCTTTTTCTCTGCATTCATCCTTTGTCCTCTCCTACCCTCTGCCAATTTCCCCCACTTATTCCCCCTGATTTCGCCACCCATATTTTACCTCCAAATCTTTGTTGTCACATGAATTCACTGCAGCCCGAGCCTGAACATCACAAAGCTGTCAATCCCAGGATTCCATTCAGCTCTTATCCTGTCATTCCAACATTCTAGTCAGCCCTGACTCTAGTATTCCAACTCTAGCCTAATTACATCGTTGCAGTACCCCTCTAAAAATGTATTCTGTCATTCTAGTATGTCATTCAGCTATTTTACTATCATTACATTTCACTCAGCGCATACGGAGGCTATTATTTCACCATTCAACAAACTCTTACTACAGCCAGCATTCCATTCAGACTTTAATCTATTACTTCAACTATTCATTTAGTCCTTGTTCCATTACAGAAACATAATTTTATCCCTATATCCCATCACTCAAACAATTCTTTCGGTTGTCTTTCTAGTACTGCAATATGTCCATTCCATTTAGCTATTCTGTTGCAGTGTGTTTAAAAGAATATCCTAGTGATGAACAGGTTTTTGGAGTATCTTGTTTATGTGATTGCACATGTAAACATCATATCCAGCTTTCAGGAATCTGTCTTATCCCAGTTTGCAGAAACAAGACCAGGCTCAACATGCCATGTATACGCCTTATCCAGGTTTCTGATCAGTGTGGCCCATCAGTGCAGGTACTTTATCAATTTGGGCTAATTAGTAATTAGTATATAAAATGAATAAAGACGCATATATACATATATAAAACGATATGAAATTAAAAACTCAAATATGATGATATATCATGTTAGTGCAGCACAGTCCTTGACAGCTAGACTAAAAACTGAGGAAAGAACTGAGTCAACACAGAAATGAAATCACAATACATCATATTCTGTATGTGAGAGGCCTTCTATAAACCCCACATTCAGCCATTATTCACATGTTCCGTCTAGTATTCATTCAGCCTGTAGATTGAGACTACCCCCCCATCTATCTCTTCATCCATCTGCCCACTTCTGTCCTCAATTATCCTTCCTCTATTGCTATCACCCCTGAAACAACTCATCCATCTCTCTGTCTCTCTGCCCTCACACCCTGTGGTGTGAAATCTTCTATTTATCTTGTGTCTACTTGTTTTGCCATCACTTTTTTTCTCAGTACCCCCTCACCCTTCTGTTTGTCTGTCTATCCATCCATCCATCCATGTGTGTGCGTGAAAGAAGAAGGGGGAGGGTTAAAAGAGACAGAGCTGGACTATCGATGGAGAAAGATGGACAGATCTTTAGAGGGGGAAGAGAGCAATGGCAGAAGTGTAAAAAGACAGGCGAGTGCTAATGTAAGTGGCAGCAATATAAAGAGGAAGAGAAAGAGGAGAGACAATGATTGATAGGCTGTCATGAAAAGATAAAATGAGAGAAAAAAGAAAGGGGAAAGTGATGCAAGACGGGGAATGGAGAAACAGAGGTATTGACAAAGAGATGAGAGTGGAAAGCAAAGGAGTGGAACAGTGAGGAAGAAGTAGAGATGTGAGGATGAGATAGAGCAGCAGAAAGAAAGAAGACAAAGCTCTCCATGACAAGTTCTGCCCTACATTTGTAAAGACTGTGTTCAATCATTCTCTACCAGGCAGCACACACAGATAATACTGTCAAGGTCCACACAGACTTGCACATTTTCTCACATGTACACCCACTGCATTATACTCTGACCTGCAGCCCACTGATTCCCACTCTACAGTAGGACAACAATGCTTAAGGCATTAACTGCACAATCTGAACAGGCTACCAAGTAAAATTAGTGTAGTATCAATGGTGGAAACAGCTCTACCCTTTTTAAGAGTACACTGATATTCACAGAAAAGGTAGAGATAATAGAGAGAAAATTTATCCACAACACCCAGTACAGGTTCTCCAGGTCAGCCTGGCAGATGCTCAGATCTTTCACATGTGAAAGACAACCAGAAACCATCCCAACAAAGAAGACACTGAATACATACAGTAAGTACAGAGGCTTCCGGCACATTCTCAACATCTCAAAAAACAGGATTTGACATTTGAAACGCTGATTGAAACGCATAAAAAAGTGTTTGCTAAAACAGAGAGCACATATCATTTCCAAGCTGAGAGAAACAAACCCTGCCATGTTTCTATCTGTAGATGGTTTTAAAGGCTGTCAGTTTAACAGTTTCATCTGCATATGAAACTTTAAAAAAATTAATATAAAACATCCTGGGGCTTCATTAACTGCAAGGAGTATGCATTCTATTTTGATTACTTAGAATACATCACTGTCTTCCTGAAATCCAAAAACAATAAAATTCATTAAAGTAAAAAAATAAATAAATAAATAAATAACCTTCTGCAATCCTAAAAATTTGTTCTGCTGCAACAGGGCAGTAAAAGCAGGTTATGAGGTGTACTATCAGATCCTCGCAGTATACAGTATGGTGGCAGGGATTTTTTTTTTACATTGTCACAATGGCAATAGTAACTGAGGTTCATCAGCTCTAATGTTTACCATATTAGTTTAGTGTGTTTGCTAATTAGTACAGTAGTTAACACGGCTAATGTTGATGAGAGTGTTAATAGTTTAGCTGGTAAAGATAATGCAGCTCATCCTCAGAAGGACACAAGTGCCTTTAACAAGTTACATGATGATCCATCAGGTAACTGTGGAGCTATTTCAATCTGAGCCTCAAATGTCAAGCTCATAATGGAGCTAAAAGGAAAAGTCAGAAGATTACCAAAGTAATTAGGATTCATCCTTTGGGGAGCATCAATGTCTGTACAAAATTCCATCGCAGATGCTGAGATAGCTCAGTCGCATTACTTTAGCTGGTGGATCGCCCCGCCCTGACATCCCTAGAGCCACGCCTGAATATTTCCCAGTCCACATCAGCTGGTCAAACCAGAGCAGTCAAAAGGCAGAAGCCCATAAAACATAATAGCTGTGCCACAACAAGGCCACAAGCTAATGAGTAATAATCACAGCATTATTCAGAAAGTCACATCTTCATTTTTGCACATGTACTGTTTGTCCCTTTTCAGTACAATGTACATGCAGTGGTACCCTTATTTGCAGTAAATAATATCCTAAAATGTGTTCCTTATCTACTATAAAATTTATGTTTTTTAATACTCAGGACTATAGATGTTTTGTTAAGCAGCACTGATACACACAGCACAGAATAAGCTCTCAGGTATTACTGCTGAACACTAGAATGGGGGTGTTTGGCATTGCCGGCAGCAGCTCTATAACAGACTGAGTGACTGCATTGTCTGTGGCAGACTGATTCTAGGTAGGTTTAACCACTTGATCATAAGAAACTGATCAGAGCTGGTTCTAGAAATTAAAGGTTGACTGTTAAACCTTCTCTAGGCACGGTCTGAAGTACTCAAAGGAAACCAGATACATGAAGCGCTCCCTGATGTTGTATACACTGCTAACTACCCTCTTCTTATACTAAAGCCAGGTTCTAGTTTAAGAAATCATACAAACTCTATGGCACAGCAACAATACAGTATATCTGATATAGTAGTACATTAAGCCATGGATGGTTGGACAACTAGCTATAAATCAACATTAGTGAGAAACCACAGAGGAAAAGGAATTGTTGTATGGAGTAGGTTTATACAATACAGATTTATTGTACTGCCCATATGCACTCACACAGAGACATGCAAATCAGAAAAGCAAAAAGTTAGTTCATCAGACTCACACTTGCTCGATATGTTGTGTGAAGAAATGAAATGCATGGAAGGGCTACTAAATAATCGCACATTTCAATTTTCTGTATCGCACAGCTTCATACCACTACAATATCTGTTCTCTGAAATTTTACCATGCCACTGACACTCAGAGCCACCCTTTGTTGCAGAAGTAAGTCTGAAAACTGACTAATTTAAAGACAGCACAGAGGAAGACTAGAGAGGAGTGAAGGAGAGAAGAACAGAGAGGCCCGTGGAAATGACAGTTAAGGTCGGCGGTGGGAATGTTTGGGCACGAGTCAGAGCAGAACAGTGGCTGTATGAGAGCAGCAAAGTGCTGCAGGGCTTGGGGGAATACTCTGCACTAACCTTGGAAGAAATACACACACGCACACAGTAAGAAACTCGCTTAGAAAAAGAATAAACAGATCTATGCACACACAGTTCTAAAAACAAACATGTGCATGCATATAAAAATAAACACGTGAAAAATGTGAACACAGAACATGTGGTGTACTGGACAAAATAATGAAGAACAGTAAATTTAAAGTTGGGACAAACAAATGCTTAGCAGTTCTGCTTAAAAAAATACTTCTAATTAATGGCGTTGTTGTAGTAATTGACACGCATACTTCCCCTTCTCACCTTGACAGGACCCATTGATTTCCTCGAAGCCTGGCTGGCACACACACTTCCCAATAGGCACCAACCATTCTCCCTCTGTGCTGCAGTGCATCCTGGGAGGCTCATATAAAGGCAGGGAGTTATTGACGCATCGACCCACGACCTCCACCAGCTGTGAGGCCTCAGAACCTGGGATGGTGGCGCCAAACTCAGCTAGACTCTTCACTAGTAACGGGCATCGTTTGTAGAAAACACGCACTGAGACTAAAGCAATGCAGGCCCCCAAATCCTGAAAAGCCAGGTAGAAGCCTTTCTGGGTTAAAGGACCTAAATCACGCACTTCAGTGTTGAGCTTCATTACACGGTCCCCCAGGTCCAGCTCGGTGAAGCTCTCATCAGCTGCTATGGTGTCAATTTTGATATATCTGCTCTCCTTCATCACCCTGTCTTCCTCGTCCATCATCCCTGTTCCATCTCTCATCTCTCCATTGTCCTCCTCATCTCCATCTGTTTCATAATAGTACATGTTGAACGTCTCCTTGCAGGTTCCGACCCCCCCAGGCAAGCTGTTGCAGTCTCTCAGGGTGAACTTGAGCTCGATGAAGACCCGCTGGGCGCCCTCAGTCAGGATCCAGTTGGTGTGGAGCCAGTTGTTCTGGTTCTGCTCCATGACCCGGCACACTTGGTAGGTGTGGATGGGGGCGTAGTCCTCGTCTACTTCACCAATCTCCTCCCACTGATGCAGAGAAGAGAAAGGAGTTAATGAAGGTAGAAGCCAAAAGAGGGGAAGGATTCAGATCCTTTTATTATATATAACAGCAAAAAAAATTCCATTGCAAGTTTGCATTCCAAATTTTACTTAAGTAGAAGTACAAAAGGAAAAGCAATTGTTCCTTAGTAAAATGACAGATGTGGCTAAAAGTGTTGGCAACCTTCCACCTCACTGAAACAATTCTCTGGTCTTCCTGAAAAGTGTTGAAATCAAAAGCTCTTTTGTCATGCAGACCTGCATGCCTTTGGTTTGCCATAGAATAAAACAAAGAAGCTGTGAAAAGAGCTAAATTATTGCTTATTGTGCAAGAATTTTCTAAAACAGCCTGAACAAAATTATTGTTACCCCTTAGAAAAGGTGACAAATAAGTGGATTGTAGTGATATTGTAATTGTCCTCCATTAGTATCACAGGTGTTTTCATCTTATAAACAGTCATTAAGCCTATTTAAATAGCGAAAAGTGCCCATTGTGCTGTTTGGTGTCATTATGTCCCCAGCACTGACAAAGAGAAAGAACAGAAGAGAGTTTTCTGACGGGATTAGGAAGAAGCACAGTTTGTTGCATATATAATGCATGTTGACAGGCGAGAATTCTTCTGGGGAAATGTTTTCTTGGACAGATGAAACAAAATTAGAGTTTCTTGGTAAGTCACATCAGCTCTATGTTCACAGAAGAAATGATGAAGCTCTCTTTCAGTCACAGGGTACTGGTTCTCCAAAAAGACTCAAAACATGCATCGAAGCACACTATAAACAAATGATAGTGAAGCACTGGTCTGTTCTGAAATGGCCTGTCCTCTGAGCTGATCTACTGTACGCTGAAATTTGCAGTTGGGAGGAGGCGCCCATCAAACCTGAGGGGATGGGAGCAGGTTGCTAAAAAAGAATGGGCCAAACGACCAGTCGAGAAGTGAAGAAGTCTCATTAAGAGCTACAAAAGGGTTCTAAGGAATTTAAAAAGTACAATTTTGGTATCAGTGTCAAAACTCAGGTATCATATATGCACTAATATTTGACAAATTAAAATAATACATAGATGTGCAGAGAATTCACAGCATGAATTGCAGTTGGCAACACCTTTTTTGAAAGGCTCCACAGTGGAAAGGAAATTATAGTTGGCAAGGTGTGTGTGATATAGCAGAATAATCCACATCCCTTCCACCTCATTTCCTTCTACTATAACAGACAAAAAGTATAGTGTGTATATGCATCTACAATGAGGGGTGAAGTTCTTGTCAGCAAAAAAAGAATTAACATGCACTCAGCGTACAGGTGTGTCCATCTGCACATCTTGAGTGTGCATGTATATATGTATTCCTGCCTGTGTGTGTGCAAAAATGTAAATGATTCTGTCAGTATTCAAGCTGATGTGCGTGAGCGTCTGCATCTCTGCTTCTATGTCCATGTCAGACAGCAGCATTAATTCCCTCTGCAGGTCTCCTGGGATGTGACTATTATCTGCATCACTTGCACTCTCCCATGGCTAATACAGGCGCTTCATCATGTCATTGTAATATGGCCAGAGGGACCAGACTATGATCTGGTGTTATAGCTTAATAGCCCATATTAATCATTCCTTGCTGCAGCCGCTGTGTACAATCATTTTTGTCTTCTCTCTCTTCTGTCTTGTTCTCCAGCTGTCTTTTTCATTCCTCCCTGCTTTCATCCCTTTTCTTTTCTGCTTGTTATTATTCAGTTTCTGAGCCATTTCTGAATCTGAATGAATGCAAGCGTTGGCAACTGTAATTACACAATGGATGTGCTGTTAAAAGCACACTCCTCCATGCTGATATGATAATACTGTAGTGTGTTTGTTATCTTACGCACCTATCTTTGTGACAACCAGTTGAGTTCTAGAGACTGAGTGATGACATTTTTAGAAAGTGAGGACATTTTGAATGTTGTCAGTTCTCTGATGGAGTGTTTGAGGCTCATACATGGTTTCAGGGTTAAGGTTTTACTCCAGTTTAGGTTAAGGTTGCACTCATTATGTTACAGAGGGTCCTCACAAGTACAGATAGAGAAGCCTATTTGTATGTGCATCTGTGTGACCGAATCACTCCCAGACCCTAGCCAAGTCAGTCTCGGTGCAGACACTAAGCCTCTTACTGGTTAGATCACACAGATCCACCAGTCTACTCTCAGCATTACACAGCCTAACAACACCCCCAAACACCAGACATTAAGGGGAGCCCAGATAGGAGTTGAAGAGATGACCTTCTTTAGTTTTGCTTGGAATCAGCATGTGTAGAAAGCGTGGTTGCCATTGTCACCACTAGATGTTCTTCCACTCAGATGGACAAGACATTAAACAGCGTTAACCTGCCAGCTCCCTAGAACACAGACCATGTAATGTCTGCATAAGCCCATGAGCGAAAGGAGCAGGTTACTGCTTGGAGAATTTGCTCCAAGCTAGCTGATGACATTTCTATCATGCTACTGTTGCAAAACCACAAGAATTCAAATGTCTGGGGGTGAAGAAAAAGAATCATTTACACAAAGAACCCTTCAAAAATGTCAAACTTGAGTCACGATTAGAGAACTTCTGTCAATAAAGGCCAACATGGAAATCATCACAAGGAATGGCAAGAGACTGTTTTATATGACTAGATTACAAAGCAGCTAGCACACCAATTTCCACAGTGTACTTTTTGCCTGATGCAAAAAGACCATCTCCTATTGTGTGCTACATGTGTGAAAGGGCAACTCTCGACAATGACCGGACCTGATATCGTCCTTAGTTCATATGAGAAAATGGCTAAAATGGCAAAGAAATTATAGTTGGCAAGGTGTGTGTGATAGATTTTTGATAGAACGTTTTTGTTACGCTCACCAGTGCAGCAAAATGTGTCCACTGAGCTGCTGCTATCTAGGAAGTTCAAGTGCCCGTCTGCATGGGATCTACTGTAAAGTACATGGTATTATGTGGGTTGGGTCGTCACAAGTCACAAAGCTCTATGCAGAGAGAGACACACCAACACTGCAGGGTGCAGGAATTAGTTGACCTTTTAAAACCTAATTACTCTTTGGACATTCATTTTATGGCAGATCTATTTCTGGGTAACTTCATCCCCTCTCAGTGATTCTAGAAAGTAATTCCCCATCCACTTGTTTAAAAAAAAGTCATATTTTAATCTTCAGTTCACCACCTTGCCTTTGAGGTACCTCACACAGCCTCTTCTTAAAGGGTCAGTTAATTCAAATTCAAAGAAAGAGACAATTTCCACTTATACCCAATGGTAACTAATCATGCATGTATTCTCGGGTTACTGTAGAGCCACATTTTTTTAATGTCTAAGAATTCTTTCCTCAAAAATAAATACTCCAGTTACCACACCGCTTATTTTGAGCAGGTTAAACTGGATCCATTACTTTCAAAGAAACAGTTCCTATGACCTATGACAACTGTTGCCAGCAAAGCCTGAATTATAGTGAGTAACCAGGACATTGCTGCCAAAAGGAACAGGCTCTGCTGAAGTTTAAATGCATCTTTTCAAAGCCATGAGGCTAAAAGTTTTGGGTCCCACTGATGGTACTGTAAATGGTCCCAATAATCAGAGGTTCTTAATTTCAGTCTGTTCAAAACTCTCTCATGCAGCCATAACCTTTCTCTCACCTCTGCATCATCTCCTCTCTAATTCTTGCCTGTTTTCGGCTTTGCTCCCTACACTGAACTGCCCCTGTAGGCATCCCTCTAGCTCCTCATTAGTGTGTTGAATTTGTTTTATTGACTGTTATGTGTGTGGGGGTGTGTGTCTGTGTGTTACACCCGTCAGCAGACACCCTGCAGCTGTGCCAACTGCCCTCCCGGCTTTAAGTCTATGAAGCGGTCTCCAACTTATTATTAGTGCCCATTACCACTGACCATTATGACACTGTCCGTATCCATACAACAATCCTCCACCCCACATTTTTACTCCTGGCATTAGTTGTTAAAAGCAGCTTTAATGTATATTAATTTGAAAGTTAGGGGTAGAGAATGACAACAGCATGTCATGGAGCTCAGCAGATTTATCACAACAGGACTCAGTGATCAAAACATAATTTAGCATAGACACTGGGCTTACATGCTCACCCAACAGAAGGAGGTACACTTCTCAAGCCTCATTCTGCTGCCTTGCATTTTCATTTCATCCATGTCTATCATCATTTTCCCCCTATGTGTCCTATGTTCTTCCTTTAATTATCTAATTTAAAGTCTAACCCAGAAACACTATTCCACCGCTTACCTCGTTTTGCTCTTGCAGTTCTTGTCTTCTTCCTTGTCCCTGATTTGTCATCCTCATCCTCTCCCTTTCCCTTCTTATTCCTCCTGTCTCACTTCTTGTTAATCTACACCATTTTTTTATCTTTATGCTCTCTTCTGTCACATTTTACCCCACCTCATCGTCCTTCCATCATGGCACTGTAATGTGTCAGGGGATAAAAAGAAGATCCATTGTACAGCATAAGAGCTGTAGCACAGCAAATCTCTATGCAAACACACCTTGAACTGTTCAAACAGCCGCTCCCCTTCCTCATTAGGGACACACAGTTTAGAGTCCCGACACACCAAGCCAACTGTTAGCTGTCATTGAGCCATCACTGGGTGTATGTGCGAGACTACAGGGCAAGGTTGTCGCAGTATGTTCAACACCTTTGATGCTGGCTTGCCCTCATCTTTGAGCATGAAGAAGGAGTCAAGGAGTCAGTCAATGAAGGGGTTTCACTGGTCATTCAGCCTATCAAATCAGTAATTACACTAATTTAGCATGACTAGGGCTACATGATTAGCTGGTCACCTCACAGATATATTCTCAGTTTGTATTTTAGCATGCATCAAGCCCAGTTTAGACAATATAGTCTGGCTTCTTCGTCTTTATGCAGTTCTGAGTTTTTGGGATTTCTACTGACTTCTTCATCTCACACAGACTCAGAGCATGGTGCCTGTTGGCTGTCAGTTGGCTGTCAGCTAGCCATCTGCTACAGCCTGTGTTATCTTCTGATTAAAGTTTTAAGAGAGATGAACTAAAGTGACATAAGGTGACACAAAGGTTTTCATCAGTCAGCCTTGATCAGTGCTTACTTCTTTACCATTAACTTGGTGTGTCAGGGCCTTTCCTGGCCCAGTATTCTGCTTTACATGTACTTTAAATGCCAACAACACTCTTCTTTATCCTTCTCCAACATATCAATGCCTTCTTGACAGCCCATATGCCCTCTTCCCCCCACTACATTCCGCTGTGATTTTTGCTCCTCTACTTCAAAACAGGAGGAGACAGAGGAGGTCACAGGAAGCTAGTCTCTTTGTCTGTCCAAGGCTGTTACTGACTGTCTGCAGCTCTCCATCTCTCTCTAATTCTCTCCACATATGTCTCCACACTGTCAGATTAACCTGCTAGCTGGCTTCAAGGCAAAAATGTACTACCCCCTACTAGCTATGATGTCTACAAGCTAGGGTTCCAAATTTTATTTAAAAAGGGCACTTCATAAGGGCTTTATAATCTCAGTTATTATTGTGCTTGTGTCTAAAGAAGCGAAGAAGCCTGAACTCTAAACACTAAAGTTCAAGGAGCTTGTTACAGATGACAAGATAAGTATTTGCAGAAAAAGAAAAAACACAAAACAAAAAAATCCATGTTTTCAACACTTAATTACAACTTACTAAAATCCATGTCATACTGTTTATTGAAAAATGTTCAAACATTTCAAGGTCATCCATCCAATTTCAAACATTTCAAACACTTATTTTACTCCATATCCTTTTTAGCTTAAATGCTTGTTTCAAGAACTTTCAAAGCGCATGAAAGCTTTGGAAAAAAAAAGCACAATGAAGCGGAGAGAAGATGGTGAGAAAATAAGACAAACAGATGGCAAGAACAATAAGAAAATGGGGATAAGGATTTAAACAAGTGTTTGCAAGACAAGGAAGGATGAGAGGAACAAGGATGAGAACTGAGCCAGAAAGTGAAGAATGAGAGGAGAGGTGATGATGGGGATGAAACAAACCATTTGGAACATGACCAAAAAAAAACAAAACATCTATACTTCCCCAATATCTTATGTAGCCAGAGAAGACTGATTTTGCCATGTGTGAATGTGTGTGTTCATGGAGAACATGTGAGAGTATGCACAGACTGAGCACTGTCATATAAATAGTAAACATATAAGAATTATTACTGATCATGTCTATAACATCTGTTACTTAAAATGGCAGACAGGGAATAAATCATTTACTTTGTCTGATATGCTTGCTAAATGCATAAAGGGACAATGACCTTCAAATGTAGCCAAATGGAAAAAAAAATCAGCTAATAAGACAGAATGTCATTGTGAGATCCTTACATTGTCTTATCACGTCTTTAATTTTCTCTCCCTCTGTCTACCCAGAATGCAGTTATTTATGCGGTTGCGCTGTCAAAACCACACACCATAATCACATCTTCATTAATATGATTGCGCACACGGCTGCTTTTGTCAGCACTATCTCTCCCATCTATATACGGTAGAGTCACAGAGCGGGTCGTGATTTGAATACCGAGAGCTAAAAAAGCACTGTGGTCAGCAGTATCAGTCCGGTGTGTATACTGTTGCTGCATATTTGCCACCTGGAGATGTGGCTATAGAGATTTTCCATGCAGATCAAATTGATGTACAAAAGAATTCTTGTTGAAAATATCCCCAGTACTACACCCTCATTAGTTTGGTTATTTAATTTTTCCAAAGACAGGCAATAGATTCAGCTAAGAACTATAATCTCATGGGTTGAGGCAGTCATGAAATTCTAGAATACATCACTGCAATTTTTAAACAACACTTTTGTTTTATAAAGTTTACATAATACCATGAAATAACTATGTTCCAACTCTAGTAAGTCATTCCCTAATTAGCTATCACCCTGGGAATGCCTGGAAATTGAAATTCAATTCCTAGTTTGATAATACAATATATTCCATGGTGGCTTTCAAGATCTTATTCATGAATTCAATTTATCCTTGTAACGAACAGAGAGCTTTCGCAAATGAAATGACCTTTGATACTGATACAACAAATGAAGTACCTGCACTTCAGAGTAAAGTCATAAAGTCATAGTTGTCTTTTTGCCAAACCCAGAAAGTGAGTTTGCTACTTATACTGTAATGGCTGTAGCTGTCTGATCCTTTTAGATGGACCAAAGTTTATTTTTAGATAAAGTCAACTCATCGTATAAGGGTCATCATATAATTTTAATCACTGCTGATATGTAACTGGGTTTAAAGAATCTTCCAATAGACTATAAACATGTGTAAATGACACATCTTTGATGAATTTTCATGATGTATTAGGAGTTTAAGTATTATTTATTATAGATAGCATTAATGAGGATTATACTCACCCCATTCTTAGGGTAGGCCACCCATCCTAGGTCTCCAATCACAGAACGAGAATCCAACAGGTTCACTGTTAAATATTAAAACCACAGTCAGTCTTAAGAATAAACAACTAACCAATGAAATAACAAATCTTAAAGAAGGCCATGACTGAAATATGCACCTTCTCTTCCTGAAACACAGCTTCTAACACTCTTTATGTGGTTTCCTTTTAGTAATGCACCTGTAGCCTGTTCTGATGGAGGTTTTTCATTCATTAATCATTAAAACCATTTACAGCTAATAAAAGTCAAAATGTGTTCCAGGTAGATCACAGGTGACATAAGCCTCCACCAACTAGTCAGGTTGCAGTTTACATGCATGTCTGTCCAGACTCGTATGTAGTTAAGGCTGAAGAAATTTTATAAAACATATAAAATCTATTTTTTGTCATAATGGAAGTTATCATTATACTGACATACATAACTTTAGTGAACATTTTCCAATATCAAGATTGCAACAAATGGCCTTTGACCACCAAAGTGAAATCAGTTCATCCTTGAGTCCAAATGGACAGTTGTTCCAATTTTGAAGAATTTCCCCTCAAGGAAATCTTGAAATTTTGCATTCACAAGCTTGGGATGGACAAACAACCTGAAAACATAATGCCTCTGGCTGCTCGGAGGAATTAAAAGAACAGCTATTGTTTCACTATAACGCATTTACTGTAAGCTACTCTAACTCAAAACATCTAAGTTACTTGGCACGTGTGATCTAGCTTAAATATGATCGGTATTAACAGCATGGGCAATAATCCTTCTATGCACATACACTCACACTGGATGTTATCACGCATTATGAGACCAAAGCTTTGGCCTGGGAAACCCACCTATTTTTGTTTAGGAACAAAAACTTCAGGTTTAGGTTTAGTGGAAAACACTATATTGTTAGGTTTTGGCACAAAATATACTTGGTTAGGTTTAAGCACAAAAAGCATGTGGTTAGGAAAAGATTGTGGCTTAAAACGCTCATCAATAAAAAACGGTTTACCCTGAAATGGAATACCTCTCTACTGTGGGAAAGCCCAGTGCTTTATGAACCATCCATCCACCCCAACCTTCTGCTAATGTGGATGTCCGCACTCTGTTTACTACATCACCTCATTTCTTCTTCTGTTTGTGTCATAATTGCTATGGACTTTTGGACAGGCCAAACCAATTCCCAAGTCAGTAGAAATTTTAGGATTGCATATTTCCCATATCTTTTCCCAAGGGAACTGACAAATTAAAGTTGTGTTAGTGAACGCTCCGTCTAGAGGAAGGTAGACTCCACATTATTTGTCCTTTTGCTTTTTTCCCCCTAGGGTTTAATGAAGCATTGCAGATGAACTAATTTGGTATCTTGCTGACTTAATGTCACAAAATTTCTGGGTACTGAAGTTCAAAATTGTGACTTGCCGCTACTAGCTGGAGCTTCCATTTATAAAAGGTTTCCCAGTGTAACAAAAACTTGTATGTAAAAAATTCTATCAAACATCCAAAAGTTTAATCTCAGCTGAAGCCGTATTATAAAACATTCAACTCTCATATAAACAAAAGTATAGTCATCTGCAGTCAGAAGGTGGAGTAGGCAGAACAAAATATGAAGCAAAGCTAGCACCATAACTGAGACACAATCGCTTCGCAACACCTCCACGCACACACACACTAACACACTATCCTAGTCTTACTGCCTCTGCAGAGAATAATAAAAGATGTCCTTAGGAGGCGATTAGACAACTAATTAGGCCATAAAGAAGGAATAAGTGATGCTGAACTAGATCATAAGGGATACATTACCGCTTTCACTCTCTCTAAGGATCAAACCACCTAACAAGTTTGAGCTCAGCTGTGACAGTGATTTACAGAACTTATTATTAAAAGTCATCACCACTGAATGAATGAAATGATTTAACATCTTCTAGTGACATTACTTCAAGGATACTCAGAGTATTTAAAATATGTTGAAAAGTAAGTGTCTATCCAGCATAGTGAATACTGAGAAAGCTCTCCTTGAAATGACAACTGAATATTTGATCAGAGAGGCACAAGGCTGCCTGGGTATTTATTTTCAGCTGTACACTTTTGGCACTCTTGCAAGTCAATGCATTTAAGTACCAACTTGATCCCAGTGATCCTTTATACAGTCTTGTCTGAAAACATATTGACCTTTAACCAGTGGGTAAAGTATAAAGCAAGTCATTTCCTCAACACATTTGCTTCTTTAGTCCTCATGAGGTGTGTGGCACTTATGTCGTAGCTAAGATTGCTCTAGGCTTAATAGCCTCCCTTCTCTCTCTCAAACAAACAAACAAAACATGTACTTTTTCTCAAGTAATTTACCTTAATTTCACTGAATCCAACATCCTGATTTGGTCATCATTATTGCTAACAAAAGCAAAGAAAGTGGTGGGTTCTGAACCCTCTAATGTGTAGGGTCACACACTCAAGATCATCCTCATTCATCAGACATTATTATTAATCAAACACAATAACAATCTCTAAACAGATATGTGGCATCTGGCTCTGCACCAAAACGTTCTCAGAAATTGATAAATTTAAATAAAAATGGATCAGTTTCAAGTGAGGAAATTTATCAACTTGACACTGTGTGTTCAGTTTTCCTCAAGATCATTCATCAGCAGTGGGGCACCAGTGTAGAAAAATGTCCCCGCCACAAGAAAATCGTTGATGAAATATAGAAGGCATTGGGACTCTTTCTTCAATTAGTCACTATTCAGGGCAAAGAACAGGCATGTAGCTGCAAATAAAAGGCTAAAGGTAAGCCTGCTGTGTAATACGAGAATGCATTATGCAGCCAAAACTGAGCATAGTATAGCCTGATGGCATGTTCCTACAATATTAATATAAAAATTGACGTGGGCAAATGGCCAGAATCCCTAATGATTCCTTGAAGATGTCTAAAGCAAGTTGAAAAATGGTTTAATCTTACTTTTTCAATTACAATAAATTAGCCCAATGAGAGAAGAGAGACTATTTTAATTACGGGCTTCACTCTCCTCTCCAATTATGCACGCAATGGTATGATTATCCATTGCAATGCAAGTATCAAATTAATCTAAAATTTGTGTTGAGTGGCAGCCTCTGGCAAATACTTCATGAGAGTAGAGGTGTTAAGCTGTTTTACAGTATGTTTTGTTAAATTATGCTGTAAATTAAGTTAAGAAAACAGAACAGGTTTTAAAGAGGATACAGCTGCAGATCAAATGAAGGTTAGACTTAATGAATAAAGACATTATAAAATAAAATGTCTGGCTAATTTGAAGTTGTGACTGATCAAACCTAAAAAGTTTTTGAGCACTTTTCTCCCTCTTCTTTTGCAGTGGTCAAAGCACATCTTATGAGCCAGTCTGGCATTGATTCACCATTCTCACAGCCTGAAGTTTGGCTTTACCAATACAATGTTAAAAAAGGGTTCAACTATTTTAACTGCAGGTCTTTGATACTGGTATAAACCTTCTGAGTAACTGATATAGACAGATTCCTCTTTTGTGGAACTAATACAAAGAGGTAACCAAGGTGAACTTACAGAAGGATGCCGTGCCAATCCCTCCAGGACCACTTCATGTCCCACGGCCACACATTGGGAACCACTTTTGTGAGCTAAACCTAACCAAATAAATCTGCCAAGTGAAGAATGATCAGGTTGACGAATGTTCTCTCTTTCCTGGATAATGCTCTCTAATAGCACCAAACAATGGTATTCATCTCAAGCTACTAAAATGCTGCTCACTCTGCTAACAATAGCGTGGGAACAATATCTGACACTGTTTCAAACATTTACATGTTTTACCTTCTTATTTGAAACCACATTGCAAA